TACTGATTCTTCTTGATCTTAGTGCCGCTTTTGACACTATAGATCAATCGATTTTAATCAATCGCTTAGAGACCATCTTTGGAGTTTCTGATTCTGCATTAAATTGGTTTAAGTCCTATCTCTCTGATCGCAAGCAGTTTGTTGTGATGGGTGATTGCAAGTCTGAGGTCGGTGTGGTGCGCTCTGGTGTTCCTCAGGGATCAGTTTTGGGCCCGTTACTTTTTAGTATTTACATTTTTCCATTTGGGCAACTTTTAAGAACACTTGGTCTTAATTTTCACTTTTATGCCGATGACACTCAGATCTATTTACGTTCAAAACCTGATGTCAATATGCCTGTGTCTTATATTTCTCAGTGTTTTACTGAGATTAGGAAATGGATGTCTGAAAACTTTCTCTGTCTGAACAGTGATAAGACTGAAGTGATGCTTATTGGTTCACCTCATCAGTTGCGTAAAGCAGAGTCCACAACTTTAAGTGTGAATGGCTCAGCTTTGAAATTGCAAACTAAACTAAAAAATCTGGGGGTGATATTTGACGCCAATTTAACATTTGACCATCATGTTTGTAACACAGTCAAAACATCATTTTTTTCATCTCAGAAACATTGCCAAATTACGTTCTTTGTTGACATTCTCTGTGGCTGAAAAGTTAATCAATACTTTTGTTTTTTCAAGAATTGATTATTGTAACGCTTTGCTGGCTGGGGTTTCTAAAGCTACCCTAAGTAAGTTACAGTTGGTTCAAAATTCGGCTGCTAGAATTCTGACTAGGACCAGTGCAAGGGAACACATTACACCAATCCTGGAAAAATTGCACTGGCTTCCAGTCAGTTTTCGTATTGATTTTAAAATTCTCATGCTCACTTATAAGGCCCTGAAAAACTTGGCCCCTCAATATTTGCGTGAGCTCTTAACCCCCCACACTCCTACACGTGCTTTGCGATCTTCTGAAGCTGGTCTTTTAACCGTCCAAACAACACGGCTAAAAACTATGGGTGATCGGGCTTTTTCTTCTTTAGCTCCAAAATTGTGGAATTCCCTGCCCTCTGAGATTAGGAATGCAGAATCCCTTAGAGTTTTTAAATCCTCCCTTAAAACGTACTTTTTTAGGGTGGCTTTTATGTGATTGTGTGATCACTGTTATTGTTATTATATTTGCCTTTTATTTTATTGCTTGTTTAGTTTTTATTGCCTAGACTGTTGTGTATCTTTCTAATTCCATTATTTTTTATGTAAAGTGCTTTGAGATACTACTTTTAAAGGCACTATATAAAATAAAGTTTTATTATTATTATTATTATTATTGTTAGGGAGATTTGATGCTAACTCTCCCTTTAGCAGCTGTCCACGGCTACCGCTTTTATATTTATTACCCCGGCTCCTGCTTCTTGGTGGGCTTGTTGGTGCTAATTAGCTGTGTGTTATAATGCTTTTGTCCACTGTTTTGGGTCCATGGTAAAGTAGTGTCATTCCCACATAGGCCATCCCCCTCTACATTTACTTCTAACCTGTGGATCTTGGTTTCCAGCACTGCAATTTTCTGTAGAAGTTTGTGGAAGTCGTCCATGGAGTAGGGAGGTATCTTGTTGCTAATTAGTGCTACAACTCCAGTCACTGCAGTATAGGCTAGCACTACTGATAGGCCGCACTCGCATAGCACTTAGATCATAAAAGTGTTTAAAGTATGGCAATAGCCTGATATCTGATCTGATGTCAATCAGTGAATAATCAGCATTTTAAAAAATTGCTAAAATTGCAGTGCCTGATAAAGTGGCCCCATGGTTTCTGTCGTGGAAATTGTATATTTCCCAGTGGAAGATTGAACAAATAAATGAATTATAACAAACCGTTGTCTTTTGATTTTAATTAAAGGAGAATAAAAAACAGGAATTACACAAACCAAAATAAGCTGGGTCAGACGTCTAGGTCCACCTAAGGCATTTTCTGGGCCAGAACAAAGGTGTGCATAAACATTTTAAGCAAAGTACAGCAACATTCGTTTTGTCTACAATAAGTACACAAAAGGATATACTATATATATTAGGGATGTCCCGATACCACTTTTTCACTTCCGATACCGATACCGATGCCGCACCTTTGGCTTTTGCCGATACCGATATTAGTCCGATATTTTTTTTTTCGTGGTCCGACGTGCCGTATACGGCCCACAGGGTGGTTTATAGGTTTAACTTTGTGAAAGACAAAACAAAACAAACACAAAAGTAAACATAATACATATCTTTGGAAAGCTGAGAAACTCGTGATTCGAACGACGTAAACCATTTTAAGATACAATCAACACAGCGGGCACAATCTGTCTCTTTGTCAGACCACCAACAGCCAAAACAAACCAACACAAACTGGAAGAAACTCACCAATTAGCCATCTGTTAGTCCACATTCCAACAAAAATGGTTTGGTTTCACTGTAAAGCGTCCATACAATCCAATTTGAAGAAGTTTTTAGTCCAAAACAATTGTATATATGAATAAACATCCATGGAATGTAAATAGTAGCATTTCGCGTTAGCCGACAGCGCTATCACAACTTCGACGCACCAATGCTACGTTTACACCGGACGCGAATAGGGCGTCAGGCGCGAATGATTTCAATGTTAAGTCAATGCAAGAAAAATTCCTGCGGCGCGAATGAGGCGCGGAGCGCGGCGCGGAAGACGCGAATACGCCTCATTCCCGCGTCAAGTTGGTGCGAATGGCGCGAATTGAGCGTTGTGCATTCACGCGTTTGACGCGAATTCGCGTCTGCCGCCCGAGTTGAAAAATCTGAACTTTGGCGTGAATTCGCGCCGCGTTAACCAATCAGGAGCCTAGCTGCTTGCTCACGTGGTGAAGTGTCTGGATGCTTCAATAAATTATTTTGTTAATATGACTAAATGCATGGTGGGATTATGCACAACAAAGCAAATGTTTCATCACTTAAAACATTATTTCTATATGGAGACATGTTAATTTTGTATTGAATGTTATTCATTCCATATCTAGAAATAGTATTATGTTGTAAAGACAATCAACATATGTGCATAAATTCGTGTCTGGACGTGAGAGAGAGAAAAAAATCACAGGACAGGTTAATAACTTTTGAAGGCTGGCTCTATTTATTATCAAAACAAAAATAAATGACAGCTAGATTAGATGGATGAGGGGCCGGGCGAGGGTGATCCTCGCACCGATGCGGGACAACAGGTCATCAAACTGGGCGCGTGACAGGCGAAAGTACCGCTGACAGCGGCCGTCATCCAGCGCAGCTCCTGGAGCGAGCAAATGGTGAAACTCGCCAAACGGTTCGGCTCCGAAGGGTCCGGTGGACACAAATATATGGCGACGATGACACGCCGCTGTTCTGCTATCCAGAGTAGAGCGGTAACTCTCTTGATGAATGCTCGGTCGACATAAAAACAATGACCGCCAACGGATTTTGATTCTGACGCGCGTCACGCGCGTAAATTTCGCTTCAAACTTTACGCGCGCCAGTTTCGCTCTTGACACGCGAATTAACACTAGTGGTCAAGCGTCTAGACGCGTCAGGCGCGAATTTGACGCGCGATTCGCGTCCGGTGTGAACGTAGCACAACACTATGATCCGTCTAACTTCAGTTGAAACGTAAACATTGGAGAAAAAAGAATGTCAAAATGGCCGCTGACCCATGAACTATTGATTGACAGGTCATTTTAGCCAATCGGCGAGTGTTAGGGGTGTCTTCTAAACTCCAACAGCCAACGAGCGTGCCTGGTGAAGATCGGTACCTACCTCTCTTTGAGTGACAGTTTATCTATCCAGTTGCAATAGAGAATGAAATGACGCTATTTTCTGATAGCCAATGAATTTCTGAAAAGACTGAAATGCAGCTTTTGTGGGTGGAATCATTACATTAGAATCCGTGCGCAAAGCGAGAGTGTGCGCGTGTGCGTAAACACAACAATCATCACGTGACAGGCTGCGCCGCTAAACTGGATATCGCTCATATTTTTTTCTCCCCTCCGATCTCCGATCTAGCGTTCTGGGCCGGTATCGGCGCGATACCGATGCCGTGGATCGGATCGGGACATCCCTAATATATATATATATATATATATATATAGTGTGCATATAAATAAAATATTTTTTTTCGAACGACACAGGTTGAAAAGGGCATAAAATATATAAATACTATAAACACATGTGCCATCTTTTATTGATTATTGACCCTAACTTTTTTAATTCCTGCCTTATTATGACAGTGACACTTGGAGAGAGACAAGCATCAAAGGGCCAGCAAAGGGCAGCAAAGAGGCAGCAAAGGGCCTCAGGCTGGAATCGAACCCACGCAGCTGCAGTAAGGACTCAGCCTGTATACATGGTATATACACTACCAGGTGAGCTACCTTATTTATTTTAGTAGGCTTCTCTCCGTTTCACCAAGAATCAAAGAAGCAAAAGTTCCAGTTATGAGTTGGGTTTTATCCATAAAGTCATTTAAATAAATGCTGTTTTATGTTTCAGGAAAACAAAGGTTGCACATAAAAATCACCATTTAACTGCTGAATGAATCATTAGAAATGGGGAACGCACCATCGGAAAGTAACATGGGCGACCGCCTGAGATGCTGCATCTGTGCTAAAGTCCTGCTTCCGTGCACATCCTTTGATCATTTATATCGAAGTACTATTCATGGACGGCATGTGTATGTCTTCAATGGAGGTCAATACTACAGAGAAGTTGGCGTCGATAATATGTACAAGTGTGAATACTGCTTCAATAACCAAATCAAGGTAGAGAAGGAGAGACAGAGAGAGGAAGAGAGGAGAAGAGAAGAGGAGAGACAGAGGAGGGAAGAAGAGAGGAGAAGAGAAGAGGAGAGACAGAGGAGGGAAGAAGAGAGGAGAAGAGAAGAAGAGAGACGGAGGAGGGAAGAAGAGAGGAGAAGAGAAGAAGAGAGACGGAGGAGGGAAGAAGAGAGGAGAAGAGAAGAGGAGAGACAGAGGAGGGAAGAAGAGAGGAGAAGAGAAGAGGAGAGACAGAGGAGGGAAGAAGAGAGGAGAAGAGAAGAGGAGAGACAAAAACTGGATCAAAGACTGCAAGAATCTCAGCAACGAGCCAAAGAGCAGCATGAGAAACAGAGCAGCAACATTTCAGAAGTACATGAGTCCAAGCGAGATGTTCAGATGTGGCATCTGAATGAGTTTAAGGCTAAGTGTGAATCCGGCAGGGATGAGCTTCTAGAAATCCTCTCTAAGAAATGCAGAACCGCAGTTCCAGATCTCCGTCTGACTCAGCTGACAGCAGATCAGCAACAGGAGATCCTGTCAGTCCTGGACAAACTTCTGTTTGATGAATGGATCAGTGCTCCCCCATCCCTCAGCACTCTGGAGCACACTCAGGTGTTCATCACAGAGCTGTGTGCCCTGTCTCTGGAGATCCCAGAGGGAGTTCCCCTACAAAGCATCTCCAATCAGGTGCAGTCCCTGGTGGACTCCATCAGCCAATCAGCATGTGATGCTTTTGAGAGTCTCCTGCTGACTCAAGCCCTGTACCTGAACCTGATGCACTTTTTCACTGACTATAGCAGCTCTGATACTGACGCAGTCCTCATTACCAAACAATGGGCTGGAGATAAGCTTTCCACTGAGAACCTCTTTCTTATCGAATTCCTGAGCACCCTCACATCGTCACTGCAGAATGTAGTGGGAAGAGCATCTGTGTTCATTTTAAAGATGGAAATCCAGTGCTTGAAGCTTCTCTTATCCACACTCACACAACTGAACGGTAAAGAAACCCACTCAGAATCCACTGAGATGCTCCTCAGACTTGTGCAAACAAACCAATGGACCCCAGCGGAGGCAGTGACTCTGTTGAAAGCACTGTCACAGAAACATGCAGAGGATGTTTCAATAACTGAAGTCCTTAAATTGCTGCAAGCGTATGAGATATCACCAGAGTGGACGGGTGAATCCGGACAATCTCTCGTCCAGGCTCTGGAGTTTGCTGACCCTAAGAGATTCCTTCAGGATTTCCAAAAGACTCTCAGAAGGAAAGATGAGAGCAATCTACCTGCAGCTCTAGCAGAAGTAAAAATGTTATGGAATTTGGATGATTCTGTGATTGATATGATAAAAAACATTACCACTGGCGTCTTGCAGTACGCAGAAAATGCACCAAAAGATGCACCATATGTTAAAGATTCCTTTACACGTGATCCCTTGAATGCAGACGACCTACAGAAGTCTCTGTCCCAGCTCTGCAAAGCAGTATTTGACACCAAAGGCTGGTGGCCCACAGTGAGGCAGATGCTGCGGTGGTGTGCGTTGGTGCTGACTGAGAAGAGTGGAGAGCTACAACTGGTTGGTGTGGAAGAAGACCCATGTGTCACAGCCATGTTTGCAGCCACACAAGTCTGCATGGGAAACAAACTGGACATTGTGCTGAGCGCTGATGTTCAGTCAGAGGAGCGAACTAAGGAGTGGTCTGACTTCTACAAGCATCTTGGAATCTCTCTCAACACAAACATGAAGAAAACAAATGCATCATACAGGAAGGTCTATGAAGCAGACATTGTGTACGGTACCATTGGTCACTTTGTCTCTGATTACTTTCAGTACGGCATAGAGGGGATGGGAACAGGGAACCCTCTGCTTAGTCGTGGATTTATCATTGAACAACAAAGACTCAGTTCTTCCCATAATCTTGAACTTTCCAGGCTCAAGGACAATGATTCCCTGATGTTCGCTACAGAGCTCCTGCAAAGCCTTATGGGTAAATTTAAGAGTAAGGATATGGAACTGAGACACGTGTTTACTAAGGCTCTTTTTCAGGTGCTCCACACCAACCTAAACAATGACACAAACACTGGCAATAAAATCATCACCATCTCACAGAAAGTTACTGGAAAGGAACTTCTTTCTAATGAGGTTTTTGTTCTGACCTTTCTTGAGAATCTCCTGAGAGTGGTTACTAGAGAAACAGAAGCTAAGAAAAACAGGACATCTCCTGCAGCCAAATGGTGTTTGGAGATTTTATTTGACTGTTCCAAGTTCAAAGAATCAAAAGCACAAACCAACGAACTCTTGCAGATGGTTTCAAACCTTAGATTTTGGTCCCCTGTAGAGGCCTTAAACCTCCTTGGAGCATTAACTGACCACCATCATGATGAAGACTGCGTTTCCATGATGAAGATCTTGCACTTGATGGCAACATATCAGGTGTCTTCCACATGGACAGATGAGAACCACCAATCTCTCCTTAAACTCTTAGAGTCAAAAAGAACTGAGAATCTGATCCAACATTTAGAAAAGAGTCTGAGAGATGAGAAAACAAAAACTCTTGACACTCTGTTTGATGAAATACGGCAGATGAAAGAGATCGATGAACAAACACTGAGTAAATCATACAGTGTAGTAACTCATGTAACAAACCTGATCAAAACCGGTAAAATTAAAAACCACACAGATGTACAGCGAGCTAGGAATCTGAGTCACAGCACGGACACAGAAGACCTTCAGGAGTTCCTGGCAGTCTTATGCAATGCTGTAAACCTGTGCCAGGCTGGAAGGAAGTGGTGGCCCAGAGCCACCCAAATGATCAGCTGGTGCCTCTTGGCCTTGTCTGACACTGGGATTCTCCTAGAGATGGGCACTGGAGAAGGGAAGTCTTGTGTCATAGCAATGTTCGCAGTACTGCGTGCTCTTAGGGGTGAAAAAGTAGATGTGGTGTCCAGCTCTTCAGTGTTATGTCAAAGAGATGCAGAAGAATGGACCAACTTCTACAAGTTCTTTGGCCTGACAGCTGACACAAACACAAATAAAACCCAAGATAAAGATAGAAAAGAATGCTACCAGAAGGATGTGGTCTATGGCACTATCGAAGCCTTCGCTGCAGATCACCTTCGCCAGATATTTGAGATGAAGAATGTGAGGCCTGATCGCAGCCATCAGTGCGTCATCATCGATGAAGTGGACTCCCTGTTGCTGGATCAGGGGGTGCAGCTGACCTACCTGTCCAGCCCCATGGTCTGCATGCAGCACCTGAATATCATCCTGGCCATGATCTGGGGCCACGTCAGCCAGTATGGCTTTCTGTCTGCAGGAGACCAGACATTTGTACGGGGTCCTCCTGCTTCATTCTACAGGGCCATCTTTGACTCAATGGAGACAGAAGAAACTGAAATTAATGATCCAATGGACATTTTACGTATCGCGGAAGAAACCAACACTGTGCCAAGTGGATTTACAGAGGATATCTACAAAAGTGAAGAGGATAAACAAACAATAAATAAACTTCTGAGGAAACTGAAAACTGTGAGTCAGGATGCTGTGGTAGATTTTTTCCAAGAAATTGAAGACTATGTCCCTTATGGTTTCACTGTTTACACTTTAGACGACAAGGGATTGCTCAGTCTTAGAAAGCGGAGCCCGTACAACAACCAGGACATTCCTGAGCTTAAATTTCTTGTCTTGGAGGAAGGCTTGTGTTGTGCTCTCTATGATTCAGAAGATATTCTCATCAAGCCCATTGCAGAATTAATCTTAGAGAAGATTCAGTACACCCCATGTACAAACAATGAAGGCAAAATCAGCATTCCTGGATTCTTGAAGAATCTGGTGGAGAAGAAAGTGTCAGTGTGGGTTCAGAATGCCTTTCTGGCAATGCTACTGAAGGAAGGACAGGAATATGTTGTAGAAACTGACAACATCTGTCCAGTGGATTTCAGGTCAACTGGTATAACAGAACTGAATAAGAAATGGGGGGATGGTCTGCAGCAGTTTGTTGAGATTAAACACCAAATCAAACTGAGCACAATTTCAACAGTGACAAACTACGTGTCTAACATCTCCTTTTTTGAAAAGTACCATGGGAAAATATTTGGAACAACAGGGACACTTGGGAGCAAAGCAGACATTCTGTTTTTACGGGAACTATATCCAAATCTCTCTGCCTGCAAAATACCAACATTCAACAGGAAGAAGTTATTTGAGGTCAGTGGTACTCTGAAGACCTCAGCTGAAGAGTGGAAATCTGAAATAAAGCGTGTGGTTATGGCTCAGATTTCCCCAAAGTCATACAGAGATGGAAGAGCAGCCCTGGTGATCTGTGAAACTATCAACAACGCCAAAGAGATCTACGAAGATCTGAAAAGCAGCATCCCGGGTGAGATCATTCTCTATTGCCGCAGCGACAAAGACAGTTTGAGGAAAATTGAAAAGGAACTGCGACCTGGTGATGTCATTGTTGCCACAAACCTTGCCGGACGTGGCACAGACATAAAAGTATCCAAACAGGTGAACAACAATGGAGGATTATTTGTGATCCTCTCCTTCCTCTCTGAGAACACAAGAGTGGAACTCCAGGCTTTTGGTCGAACTGCTCGCAAAGGTGATCCTGGATCTGCTCAAATAATCGCGTCCACTGAACACCAGTCTTTCAAGACAGTGTCTTCTCTGGAGGAAGCTAAGAGCACGAGGGATAGACTTGCAGCAGAAAATATAAATCACATGATGAACGAGGTCAGTGAGTTGAAACTGCGAGAGGACCTGTTTTCAGAGTACTGCAAAACTCTTGAAGATGTTTATAATAAGACAGATGGAGATGAAAAAAGAGCTGTTGTTGCCATCATGAATGAGTTCTGGGGGATATGGTTACAAACTAAATCTGAAGAAATTGACCAGTTGAAGAGAAATGAATTGCAAACTAGCTTGAAAGCTGATTTGTCAATGGCACAAAGTCAGTCTCAAAGTCAGACTTCACCGTGTTCTAGCATTTATCACTACATCACATTTGGAAATGTCGCGCTGAGTCAAAAACAATGGGACGTCAGTGCCAGGCTATTTGAGAAAGCCATGAATCAAGATGAAAGCTGGGCATCCATAGCTTTTTACAGTCATGCGTACTGCACTATAAAGCAGCAGAAAGCAGATTACCTGACTAAGGCCAGAGATGACCTAAAGAAGGCACAGGAGTTTCTGAAGTATCTCAGTGAACAATCCATGGTCTGTCTGCAGTTTGTAAAAATGTCCTCTGCACACTTAACCAACAGTAACCCAACCAGCCTCGAGAAACAGTTAACAACCAAGTGCAGCATGTTGAGATACTTCGACAAAAACATCAGTGAGGCCATCAAGAAGCTGGATGAGATCAAAGAAAGAGGGAGGGATGCAATTGTCAAAAAATCGCCAATGTTCTCCCTGGTGTCGAGTGCCGATGAAGACCTCCAAGTGGAAGCCGACAACCTCTACAATCAAGGTCTGAAATATGTATTTTCTGTGGAAGAGAAGCCTCGTTTCCCATGGGAAGGTCTGCTGGTGTTCTGTCTTGGAATTGTACAGATTATTGGAGGAGCATTGCTCACTGCATTTACATTTGGGACATTAGCTCAAGTTGGCATGGGACTCATCACTGAAGGAATATCAGACTGCATCTCTGGCATTGAGGCCATGGTGACTGGAGAATTCAGCTGGCAATCATGGGCTATAGAAAAAGCCATTTCTATAGGTGTGTCTCTCATTGGATTTGGAGTTGGAAAGCTTATTGCAAAGGGCTTCAAAGCTTCTAAAATATCGATTAAGGTATTCTGCAAAGAGCTGAAGGCGATGCCAAAGATTATCACCAGAGAGGCTAAAGATGGTTTAAGTGTTGTCACAAAGACAAATATGAAGAATGCAGGAAAACTTGTTGTTAAAAATATGGTAGAGGAAGCCATTATCTATGGATTTGGGAAGGTGGAAGAGAAAATACTGAAAGAAATACTGAACAGCATAAAAGATACGGTGAAAAAGGGAGTTGTAAACAACGTGAAATCCAACATGGAAAAAGATCCCTTGGCTTCATTAGTAGACTCCATCGTCCTCTCACACCTTGAGGATAAAAAGCAGCTTCATGATCTCCTGCAGGATGAGAACAAGAAGAGTTGTCTTCTGGCCATTTTCAAAGAGTTAAGTAACACTGCTTTACAGCCGTTCTATGCAGACCTCAGCTGGCAGAACAAGCTCAACTCATCCTTCTCCACAGTGATTAACAAAGCTAAAGCAGAGGCCAAAGGAACAGCATGTGGAATTCTGAACGTGATCCAAGCTGTCCACATGGGAGTACTGGCAGAAGACGCTATTAGTACAGTGGTCAGCCTCTCCAGCGAGTTCTTCTCAAACCTTCATGAACAGCTGAATAAATTTAAAAAAGAAAAAGCTTTGTCAGAGAAAGTGAAGGTCAATGATCTGTCTGCTTCAGATGCTAAGATGCTGAAAGAATTCAAGCAGGACTTGGCTGACACTATCAGTGTTTTATTGGCTGATGCTTTGGTAGAAGTGTTCCACCAGAAGTTCTCCAGTCACATTGTTTCTCATGCTCAAGGCCAAGTAAATGCTGTTATTGGCCATTATGTAAGAACTGGCCTAAAGAGTGAACGAACAGAAGAAAAACTCAAAGCTGGACAGAACAACAGATATATCTCATACATGCCTGCAGACCAGAATGCTAAACATAAACTTGGAGGAGAGGCAGGTAAACGCTCAGAGTCACATGCTGAAAAGATCAGGAACCCTTCGACTGCAGGCACCATTCTCGATATCAGAGTCCTGTCAGAAGCCACTGGGACTAAGGTTGTTATCCTAACAGAGGACAGCCATGGCAGACTTACCAAAATGCAGCAGCTGAGCCCAGGAGCTAAAGCCACCGGTCAAACTGTGACACTGATCTACAGACCAAAGAGTGCCAAACACCCAGATGGCCATTATGATGTGCAAATCAACAACCAGACAGTAAACATACAAAGCGAGGGCAAGAACTGTCTGTTTCATGCTTTGGCACGAGGCATGAAACCAAAGGCCAGTGAAGAAGAGATTGCTTTAGAAGCAGACCGCCTCCGATCTGTGGAGGCCGACACTCTCCTCAGACATCCAGGCCAATGGGAGCCTTTCATCAAGCGCAAAGAGTGGACTGAAGCAATCAGAGGAGGGGACTGGTACATGGCAGAGGGAGCTGGACCAAAAAAGAGAAATCGAGAAATCGAACCCGAGAAAGAAACTAAGGAAGCTCTTGAGGATGAAACTGGGAAAGTGAAACTGTATAAAGAGTGGCTGCAGGATTCAAGGAACAGAAGCGGAATTGGACAGTTCATCAATGGAGATCACCAACCACCCTTAAATAGTATACTGAACGCTCATAAATTGAACCAGAATAGTAAATTAGCTACAGCTATGCTTAAGGTGGCAACAGCCTCCTCCTCAGAGGATCCTCCGAATAATAAGGAGATAGACCGCGTATACAAAACTCATGGGCTTGAGCTTCCAGTTGTTTATGTGCCAACAGAGGTGCATCGTGAGTTCCCCAGTACAAAATCTCAAGGATTCAGGGACTTAGTGGCTGCAACCATAAGCAAGGATGATGTTGCAGGCACCTTCAAACTGACCATCCTTGGTGCTATGCCCAGGTGTATGCTAGACAGCTCCAAGGATTACAAAAAATTTGACCAAACATTACTGAGTCGCACCAGGCTGAAGGTTTTCCAGGACAGTTATCAAGAACACTCTAAAGCATTAGTGGATAAATGGTCCAACCTCATGGGACACAAACACGATCTCATGACACCAGAGGTTAAAGAAGAAATAGTGAACTGGATCAATGATAAAAAATATGAAGATCAAAATGATCCCTACAGGAACCAAGTCATAGGAACCCTTTAAAGGTAAGATAATTTCTAAAATATCAGATATCCCAAGCACAAAAGCTACTAAGCTGTGTGTATTTTGTGTATTGGAAGCGAATAATTTGAATCAGCGTAATTGCTGTCTGGTATTGGAATAGAAAATTCCTGTTGATTTATAAGATAACAAGGGGGCGTGGTTAAACTGAAACACTTGGGAAGACTAATCAACATAACGGGGAACAGCTGAACATGGGACAAGACACATGGCAGGATCACATGACAAACAGGGAATCACATGACAGACAAGAACAAGACAAAACCCACACCGTGACACATACAATGCACAGTAGGTAGACAACCAGAATGTGTTTTTACCGCCGCAGTTTTGCCGCGGCGGTAAAAGTTGAGGTGTATTTGCTGCCTTTGGCCGCTAAGAGGCGCTACAATCACAGACTTTGAAAAGTGTCCGTTTTTTGTGTAATCTTCAACTGCGCCGTGGCTCTTTCAGAGCCATTGAAAGATGGTAGCAGATTAATTCAAGTGAAACGTAGTTAAATTTATTAATTAATCACAATACTGAAATTAAATTGAAAAAATAATGAAACCTTAAAACATTGCAGTCGAAACATATTAGGCTACATCAATGAGGCTTTACAATCATATAAGACAACAATGCATTAGCAGTCTAGCGATAGCGGTGTGGTTAACGCATCATCCTCAACCTCATCGACCTCCAAATGACGCAAGATCGAACCTCGTTACATGCTGTTGGCCGACAGCTTTTATGTTTTAGCCTACCGTTCTTGAAGCTTAAATAGATAGCTGTTTATTAGCGAGTTTATTAACTGTTTATTTACTTAAAAGTGTCCGACATAATTTGCCACTTCTCATTGAGAGCTGAGGTCGCAGATAAATTCAAGGTTAACACTCTAGCCTGTACTTGGGGACGGGTGGGACATGTCCCCACCACTTTTTGCCAGGGTCGATATTGTCCCCACCACTTTTGAAATCTTAGCTAACCGCATTCGTTTCATTCATCTAGCGCTGAATGTGTTGTCTTCTATTGGACGCACGCTGCAATCCGTTGTGGAGGTTTCATTCGTTCCGGTGAAATCACAAATCAATCCGAGGCGACGGTTTTGCAATCCGTCCGCTCAGTTTATAAACTGTAGGCTACTCACGGATTCTTAAACTGTTCCCTCGGTTTAACAATTCGTGCCAACGGATTAATAAACCGTACCTCTCAGATTTGTAAACCGTGCCCTCAGTTTTTGAAATCTGTACCCACAAATTCATAAAACGTGCCCACGCTTTCGCAATCCGTACTCACGGGTTTGTAATCCGGACTCGCGGGTTTGTGGCTCGTCCCCGAGAATGTGCCGCAGGATTCAACCAGGCCTCCTGTTTAGATGCGGGATGCATTGTTTTTAAAAGGACTTCACTTACAAAAAAATAAATAAATAAATATAGCCTAACACAAACACAAAGTTATAGGCCTATAAAAATAAAACATTCATAAATTGTTTTATGATTAACATATTCCTGTCTTAAGTGAACTCATTTAAAGTTATAAACTCAAATAATAGGCCTAATAATAATATGCTATTATTATTACATTTAGGCTACATATTTAGATATAAGACGCTTTTAAAAAAAAAAAAGAAACAAAGCAATTCGTCAAATGTCAGTCATAATAGAGGTTAGACAATACTAAAACAGGGCTGAGATTATCACAAATAAACACAAGATTTTGACGCCTAGGCTATCGAAGTGTTTGTGCACAAAAAATAAATAACATTGACTTTTTGCCTTTATTAAACATTTAAAATATTCGCAAATTACTATGAAAAAAAAATAGATTTTACTTTCTAAAAACTATATTTTGACCGCAGTGCTAAATGAGAAGAGCGTGTCTACACAAATAAAAGTAGTTGCAAATAATGAATTATGTATTTTTTCCGTATGACCAGAAATGCTAGATTATTTTAAATTGTTCCACTGTTGATAGGAACATGCAAGTGTTTGCGGCCGTGGCAGTGACATACAGTGCGCGCTTCACACAAACAGTTGGATATACGTTAAAAACCTGTGTTTGTTTGTTAGAATCTTAGCCCATTATTGACTGACATTTGACGAATTGCTTTGTTCTTTTTTTGTGTGGATAAAAACATCTTCTAAATAGGCCTATGTAGCCTAAATGCATTTTGATTTGTTAGCTAATTATTATTTGCGTTTATTACTATGAATGAGTTCACC